TGAGGGCGTGCTCTCAGAGCTTTGTCTCCCTGCAGACATTGCTAGTCCTCTCATTTTAATTCTTTTTTGGCGGGGGAGGGTCTTCATGGTGGATCAGTAGTTCTGTCTGGCCTTAAATCTAAACCTCAGGCTCCCATCCGGTTCAGCCAGTGAGCACGGTGTTGGGGGCAATTGAGAAATAACAATAAAGTGGTATTTTTGGTTGTCGTCCTGCCATAGTTCCTGTGTGCCATCACACACTTTCCCCATGTGTTACTACCACAGTCAAACCTCATGGGGGGAGGACCAGCTGACAGAGAACTGGGGCCTTCCTAGTTCTCCAGCAATCATAGCATCCTGGCCATCATGCCCTCACATCTCTGACCTCTAACCTCTGACAATGACCAGCCCCTAGTGCCAGTCAACTATTCCCATGAGAAGGATACTCTGCTCAGTACATATAGTAGGAGTTCCATCAATCTTAGTTATTATTACTGTTAGCTCTGACCCCACATCAGGCAGATAGGTGGTGCCTTCTGTGAAGTGGCATACCACATTGCCTGGATCTCCCTCTCTGTAACTTTGGCCTTTTGCTGATTCCTTGCACTCTTCATTGCTTTCCCTTCAGCTGTGCTGTGCTGCCAGGCCTGGGAATGCAGACCGGGCTATCTCTGGACCATCTGTTCTCTGGATCTAGCCCACCCTTCCACCCAGCCCTGCCTCTCCTTCTCGGGTTTGCCTGTACTTCATTTCTCAGGGTGATGTTTCAGCAGGCAGCTTGCCAGAGTAGATTAAAGAAACCCTAATGAGTGTTCGAGGCGTCCCGGGCCAGAGCAGGAGAGGACGGGAGAGCTGCAAGGCTAGCAGGGAGCTCTGTGCAGGACAGGCATGCTGCAGACCGAGGCCGAGAGGCACTCACAATCCTGCGGCCTGCTCTTCTTACAGGAAGCTGGGGCAGGATTGTCATGCTGTCTCCGTTCATTCGTGTTTGTTGATCGCCTGTGCCACACACTGAGAATCAGAGGTGGTCGAGACCGTCATGATTCCTAGCCACGCAGAACTTACAGTCCAACTGGGGAGACAGACCAACACCATTAAAGAGCGAAAAAAACAACCCAGTATGGCAAGTGCTGTCCAGGCACAGCAGGTGCTAGGGCAGGACTAAGGGCTGGCCTGGCGGCCACTTCAGATCAGGAGGCAGGAAGCCCTCTCAGAATCCAATTCAACTTTCAACGTGAACTTCTTTCTCATCCCATGACTATTTGGAAAGCTTCCCACCAGCTCTCCCTACATTTGCGTGTTTTCTAGTGACAGAAGGAAAAAACAATCACAAGGTGAGGAGCTAGAGAAACCTGAAAACCTAGCATGGTTCCCAGTCATATTTCCCTCCTTGTTTGCCCTTTGACACCTTTTACGTGATTGCTTTTAGGCCTGGATTAGTTTTTTTCTGGCCCCAGGCCCATGCTAATTTGCATGGCTTTCTATATACCCACGGGTCAGATCCACGAAGACAGCAGGCCAGCCTGAATTCACAAACACAGTCACATCCATCAAGTGGCCCAGAGCTCGGTCTCCTCCCTGTAGAAGAATGGAGGATAATGAGAAATCCTACCGCGACCCGAAATCGTGACTCACCAGGGTTGCCCTGTGGTCAAGCTTATGGGTAAACCACTCCATCATCCTTATGTTCTACTTGTCAAACACTTGTGGGATTCCATTTTGGGCTTTAGACATGTAATTATGGTCCCCATTGTTTCCAAAGCCAGAATTAAGCCTCAGATTATATAATTAATTGTGAGTTAGGAGTGCCTTCTTTCATTTTACACTCCATCTATGATGTTAATACAAATCCTTGTTTCGCTCAGTAACACCAAATATTTCGAGCCACACTAGTCGATAAAACACGCATTCCTTGTCCTATTTGGCTGTTGTTATGAATGGGTAACTGGAGGGCCGACTTACAAATGTAGTTAAAGTCCATTATGGAAAACTCTGTTCTTTCCCTGTATTCGTTGACTTAGTCAAGAATTCTTTCAGGGACCAGAAGTGTTTGCTCATTTGTTTACTTATTCATTCATTCAACCAGTCAACAAATATTACTTTGGACCTGCTATGTGAGAGGAACTATGCTAAGAGTGAGGTGAAAAGACTTGGTCTCTGGCCTCAAAATCGCCCAGCCGAGATGGTGCCCACCTTGGGTTGGGGAGTCCCCACAGGTGGTCGTATCCAAGTCATGGGGACGGCAGTCTAAAGTCGCAGATGCCCGCCCGCCGCCCACTGCTGCCCCGGCCCCAAACTCAACTGAGATTCTGATTCGGCAGGTTCTGAGGGAGGCCCTGGCATGTGGATTTTGAAAAAACTCCTAGGGCAATTCTAATTACACCCTTAGGTTATGAGCCACTGGTCTAGTGAACTTCCCAGAACTCTGTAGAACTCAGCTCCTTTTTTGTGGGGCAGCACGGCCATGAGCCCCTTTTTACCCAAGCCAGAGACTCACCCAAAGGCTGACAGGGCCTGATGTGGGCCAGCAGTAACACTGGGCTTATGGCCACAGGAACCTACCCGTCCCTAAGGAGCTGTTCCCAGTCGTGGGGTCAGGCCTGCGCTGGCCACCTATTCCCATGCCAGCTCTGCACAGGTGCGTCTCTGCCATACCTCAGAAAGGGCACGGCCCCGCCTGCCACCACCTCTCCAGCTTGCTCTCCAAACAAGCCACTGCCCAGCTGTCTTCCTCCGCCTGCTCCCCCATCCAGGAGTAAGGGTGCCTAAGCTCTGGCAATCTATACAAAGGAACATCGCTGAAATATCATTGTTGAGTGATTGGCAATAAAGTTTGTCTCATGAAAAGGCCATTGCCAGTTTGTGAATTCCGGTTCTTTTTAAAAAAATTTCTATTGTCTGATTATTTTGGATATGATAGTCTGCTTGAAGATAGCCAATATTGGTGACAAGTCAGAGAAGATATATTCAATGTTTTACCGTTGTGTTTTAATTTTGCACATATAATGTCTGGCCCAACCAATCCAGGTTTTGGTGCTTTAAGTCTCTTGAATTGATAAATAGTCAATTCATAAGGTCTTACTTTAACTAGTAAGCTTTACAAATATATGTAAATCCAGGAACGTGAATTAGCTAGTCTTGTCTTTCTAGTTGTGGCTATTTTCTGGTTCTCGACTTTCAATTATCACGTTTTTGTTGCATGTCATTTGTTCGTTCACTCATTCAGCTTTGACTGAACACCTGTGACCTTCAGTCACCTCATCTCCCACACGTCACTGCCAGGCCCCCCACCCCCACCTCACACACCTTCTGTCTGGCACACCTGCAGTATAGACTCAGTGCATGTGGTCCCCGTCCCTCGACTTTCCCCAGTCAGCTGAGGGCCACAGCCCCTGCATCAGTTGTTCCCAGGTGATGAAGGCTATGGTGGCATTTGACCTGTGTCTTGAAGGACACAGAACAGATAAGCAAGGACAGTTCTGACCACAGGTGCCAAGCCCTGGAGACCAGTGAGTGGTGTGGTCAGGGGCAAGCGGGCCTGAGTGACAGGGAGGAGATGGTGGGAGGACCAGCTGGAGAGCAGCTCTCTGCCTAAGCATGGCCCGAGTGCTCTGTGAGGAGCTGTTCCTGAGTGTGACATTCCTGCCACTCTGCCTCGGCAATGTGACCAGATTCCCAGGTCACATGTCCTCAGCCAGCCTCCACGGCTCGCAGCTAAGGTGGAAGAGAAAACTCAAACCTTTGTTCTTGAGAGACGGGGAGGGAGTTGGTTTAGGCTGTTTATTTCTCTTCCTTTTGACGTTAAAGCAAACCACATTTAACTGCTGCCTGGACCCCTGCTCAGGTGTGCAGCAGACTCGGTGGCCCGATGCTGTCATCCCTGGCGTGGCTCAGCCCAAAGGAAATTTAGGTCTGAGCCCTCAGAAAGGTCTGCACACACATCTAAAAACAGGTGAGCAGAGAAGCACAGACTCAGGGAGAAACGCTCTCACGGCCCCAGGAAAGCCAGCTGTATCAAGTTCAGGCCTCCTCCCTGCCAAGCCACAGGGTCGGCAGAGCCTTCCCCTCCTGGCCTCTGGAGCTGGGAACGGGAGGAGGAAGTGGAGCGGCAGGATGTGGTGGCAGGGCTGTGCGCCGCCTGCAGGGCTGGGGCTCAGAGCGAAACCCTCCCCAGGACTCTGAACCGCGCTAACCAGATTGAAAAGACACAACAGCACACACACAAAGCCGAACAACTCTTCGCTCCAGTCCCCTTTGGTGGAAGCTGGGATTTGGGACAGTTCTCCTGGGGAGTGGCCAGCTCACAGTTTTCAGAGGCTTCTGAGTATGTACAACAATCAACAAGACCACAAAAAACACAGTATTTACCCTGATGAAGGCACGCGCACCTCAGGTTTACAGTCATGAATGATGAACAGAAGCCAGAGCAACAACTGATTGGCCGTGCTTTGTAAATAACCTGGCCCAGCCCAGGTGTGGCTGCAGCCTGAGCCCCTTTTCTGACCCTTCCCTGCCGACGGCTTGTCCCCTGCCCTTCCAGCAGTCGAGCCCATCTGCTGCAGATGGGCGCAGTTTGGTTTCAGGGCACGTGGGTCCAAAGAGCTGGAACCATAATAGGTTTCAATCCTGATTCACTCGTTCCAGGACGGAAATGACACTTCCTCTTTGCTTCTGACCTCCTTCCAGAAGCAAAACGCAAAAAAGCCACTTCCCAGAGGATGTAACACATAGTCACCCCTGGAGCCCCAGGCAACCACTTCAGGGGGCTTCCATTAGCCGGTGGACGTGCTGTTTCCAAGTGCTTTGAGCACCTTTCTGGTGAGTCACATGAGGGACATCATGAGTTTTTTAGGCTCCAACAAGAATTGTTATCAAAATACCTAGTGCAGCTACCATCAACACTTTGGGACCCCTATGTCAGAAGTATTGAAAGGGTCTGCTCTTTTACTTTTTATGTACTTATTTTTTAAATTTACCTTAAGCAATGCACCAGTTTTTTTCCCCAGCTTTAATGAGATATAACTGACAAGACTCTATCCTGTTAAAAATCCTCATGCAACTTAGAGGGAAAGGTCTTCTCAAATAGGTTATTTTGTAACTCTTTCCTGACCCTGAGAAGAGTCTTTCTTCAAAATACGTTCTCCGTCATGGCTGTAAGACAGGACTGAACGAAAAGGATGGGAGAGAGAATGAGTATTTCCTGAGTGACTACTGGATTCCAGGTCAACGAACGGCCAGTGAACCAGCATCTAAGCCCAGCAGGGCTCCTCCGTCAGACTGGCAGAGGAAGCCTGGAGACAGGGTGGCACGTGGTTCAGACTGTAGCCTGAAGTGATGCTGCCCAGGTTCATATTCCAGTTCTGTCACCTCCAAGCAGTGTGACTTTGACAAGTTGTTTAATCTCTTTGCAACTCCTTTCTTCTTCTCTAAAATGGAGGAACCGAGCTGCCGGCCATCGGTTTGTACAGACTCAGTGCGCTAACTCTGGCATAGAGTACTGCTCCAACAGCACCAGCTCCTTCTCCTCAGTCGTTGTCATTACAACCCAGAGAGCTGAAAACACCGTATATTAATTAAAGGCTTTGATTCATTTGGAAAGATTGGCCTGGCATTAATTGTAATTACTGTGCAAGGACCATGTCTTGTTTCAATGCATATTTTAGCGGGGAAAGGCACAAAGTGGCCCACATAACAAACTCATAGTTTGCCTTTTGGTAGCGTAGAAGCGTGTTACTAGTCTGTGCTTTCCTAGGGCTTCTGTGCTCATGGAGTTAAAGCCCCCCAAGTAGAAAACCCTCTACTCTCAGAGGGGAGTTAACTCACCCCGTGGATCAGGCTCCCTTTTATTTCAAAGGGTCTTTTTGCCGTTATTCAATCTAGTTCTAAAGACCTGAAGTGTTATGGAATAAATCTGCTTATGGTGATGGATGGGCGTTTTGACAACCCAGGGCTTTGCTTCTAAAGCATTTTTATTACCACTCGATATCACCAAACAGTGAAATACCACAGACACCCATCAGCGAGGTGCTTATTCCTCTTGGGCTGCAGGGAAATCAGGGACCTGTTTAAAACCGCCTCGCAAACTGGTGACAGGCAAATTGCGATGGCATTAGGCCACACTCTCCTACACGAAGGTAGAAGGAAGGGGCCAGTCATCCTCTGTCCATATGTCTTTCATTAGAAACAAAGGAAGTCAGGACTTTCTATCCACTTGAGAAAAACAGTGAAACTTTATTAGCTAAATTGAAAACCCTTGTCACCAAAAGTCTGTGTGATGGAGCTTCTGGAGGGCCAGTGGCAAATGTCTGCGACGTGGCTGTCCAGTTGCAGTGGTTTCAAAGTGTGAGGGTCCCCAGAGACTCAGGGAGCAGCTGGAAGAGGACGAGGGGGTGGCCGGCCTGTCCCAGCCTTCCGGGGGCACTCGGCACAGCCATTGTCTTTTCACTCTCTTCTCCTGAGGAGACAATTATACCGTATCTTTTTTCCAGTCCAGATGCAAAATCAAAACCTTGAGTCCAGTGGAAACGTTCCAAGACCTCAGAAAACGCGCGTTCACCGAAGACCGTTTTCCTGACTTGTAACCTGGTTGGCTACCCCCGGTTTTGGAGAGGCTCCGGGTGGTCCAGTCTCCTCTGGGAACATGGAGGTTTCACGGTTTCAATTTCCGGCATTTTCTGCTTGCCTTGGAGTCCAGGGAAACCGAACTTGCTGAGGAAGCGAGTGAGCAGCTCAGCCGCGGAGGAGAAGAAAGCTGAACCAGGGTTCCTCCCCGTGCTGGTGCCGGAGGCTGTGACATTGTGATCCCCAGTACACCTGCATAACGAAGATGCTCCACTTACAATTTCAAAACATTTATAATCATCTATGCATTTTTCATAAGTGTCGTTAGATGCCCCTCCCCCTCTGGGGTGTGGGAACGGCTAGCCTCACGGCTCTCCCTGTGTAAGGGCCTGGTTGGCTGTGAGCCGGATGGTGAGTCTCTGATTCCCGCACACTTTCAGGCGGTCCTCTAATTTGAAATATGCAAACTAGCTTTTCTCCCTTCAGAACCATCCCATACAATTTAGTTGAGGAGCTGTGCACATTTCACAGCAGGAGGACAGGGGCCATCCAAAAGGGATGGGAATTGCTCAAATGAACAATTTACATTTACTGTCCTCCTGGGGGGAAATAAATGCAAAAACATCTGTTGTGAAAGTTAAAGTATAATCTTCAACTCCTCCAACTTTCTTGGTCCTGGTTTTATACAGCTAAGCACTAACTGAAGACTAGGTGGGTTTTCTTCAGTGCCCACAGAGGGTGTAATACACAACAAATGGTCCAGGGCACCTCTCTGGAGACTGAGCAAGTGAAAGTGAAAAGCGGGCCATTCAGCTTGTAAACCATTCGGAGGAGGGTCCCTCTGACAACAGAACTGCTTGAGGAGTGTCAGCAAGCAGACCTGGGTGGCCCAGGGCTGTCCTCCAACCGCAGGAGGCCATCTCTCCTGCCCTCGGTAATAATAAACATCAGAAAGCACAGCCCAGTTCCCTAAATGAGCAGAAATCTTTTCACGCTTTTCTAGCCCCATCCAATATTTCTCCTTCCAAAGGCGAGAAGATCACGGGTTTCTAGAAGCTAGTCAAACGGAGGACAGTCTGAGATGCCAGGTGGAGCCCACCTCTCTCAGGTTGCTAGCTTCAGTCTTCACCGCTTATTTCGGGGAGCCCACCTGGGTCTCAGATGGGAATTTCTCCCTCACAGCTGCATGACCATTGTGGGGAGATGTGGCAATGCCAGATCCAGAGCTCTGTACCCAGTTAGGGCAGGTATTTTATCAAAGCCACACTACGAGTTGGTTTTCTTCTTCCCTTCAGGGTTGCTTTTTTCTAATTTCATTATGCCTCTAAGCTTGGCGTCAAGACCAATTGGAAGAGCACAAAGCTAATGTCCAGGAGAGTGTGGGGCCACACATGAAAGCTGTCACTTGTAGATCACGGTGGAGCCCACTGGCAGGGGCAACTCTCCTGCATCAAAGCCGCTTGGAGCTTGTCTGTAGGATGCCTCGGCCTTCCAGGTGGCTGATATGGTTGCTTCAGTCTGGTTGGCAAAATTAACCAAAATTTTCAGCTATGACTTTGACTTGTCTCTTCTTTTTATCTCTTCTTGTCTCTCAACCAGGCCACTTCCTGAGCATAGTTTGGTTCCATGGGCCAAAGATGTTAGAAGCAAGGACTTGTCTCAAACCCGTCACTCAGTCTGGCCTCCTTGTTCCTCAGGATGGAGGAATTCTCTGCGAAGATCTTATCTTTGCTGATCTTGGCACATTCCAACATCCTGCATGTGTGGGCCCCAGACGAGCCCCAACTGTGGCCAGCTGGATGGATGTCACCAGGGAGAACTTCTCATCACAGCAGGCCACTTCCTTTCTCAGGCTACAGCCCCAAGAGCTGTGTCAAGTAGGCTAGGGAAAGTGGGCCCCACAGCACTGGCTGGGGAGGGAAGCATGCAGAGTTTATTTGGAGATGTCTGTGATCCACAATGAGATAGAGACCTCATCTCTGTTGAGGGTGATTTTGGAATTATCTCCATTTGTCTTCTATTTCTGAAGGTCATGTACTATGGTCCGAACCATGTAATTCACCCAAATTAACAGAGATGAACTGGATTTTCACATGCAAATTTCTTTTCTAAGAATCAGCCTGTTTCTATCCTGTGTCTCCAAATATTGCCAAATATGTGTGCCCAGGGTGTGGATATAGTGGGGCCAAACTTGGGTTGCCATCTGCATGAAGAGATGTTCCTCATATGTCCTCCTCTGCCAGTTTGCTGCCTGGAATCCTTAAACAAGAAACTAAATCTTTAATTCTACCATCTGAGCTAAGGACTCTATGCCAATATGACAGAAGAAGACTCTCATTGAAAATTTCCCCCTAAGATTTCAATGACTCATACGGATTCTTGTGTGAGGCTAAGCTTTTAGGCCGTTGGTGGTGGGGATGGAGAAGCGTAGTTGAGAGCAGAAGGTCTTTGGGTCCCTAAAAAAGGAAGAGGGTATCTGGAAGTGCACAAAAAGGGACATGCGGGGAAACTGCAGACAACTCCACCTACTCCACAGCTTGCCTGATTTATCAGTTGATGATTCTCTTATCAACAGAGCAGGACTGTGTGTGAGGCCTTTTCATGGGAGGAAAGCTGCCTTTCTCTCAGACACCAAGGCCAACAGCACACAAAGCTGGGTTTGTGTTCAGTTCGCCCAGAATTGCACTGACTCCCGTAGCAGAGCTGGGAGTAGCTGACTTGGTCTGAGGTCCCGTTCTTGTTCACCTGGTTATGGGCACAGGGACTCAGTGCTGTGGTTTCCAAGCCTTTACTCATGATGCACCTTCAAGGGCAGGCAGGAATCCATAGGCCCATGGCCAACCTGGGTCTCTAATGGGTGAACTGATGTTAAAGCACAGTCTGCTCTTGACCCAACCTCCTGGACTTTTCCATCAGGTCTTCCAAAAAGCCAAGCTAATCTTTAAGGCATTTCAGGAAGAAGAACTTCTTACCAGAAAGAAGGCAGCAAGAAGACTAAACTAACTTCCCCGTCCTTGCCTCCCCATGACTACTCGCTCTCTTGACCTGCCTTAGCCAGGCAAGCTCTCCCACCAGTCTTCTCCTCTCCTCGAGGGCACTGGTGGGAAGGAAGCATCAAGAACTCATGTCTAACTTTTTCTTACAGTTGCTTCTTAACCATTTTGCCAGAAAGTACAGCCAGAGCACATGGTGTGTAGGTGACTATTGGAATGACTGAAGGCGTGCTTGGTCTGACTACCTGGGACCAGGCTAAAGAGAATGGGCAACAACTGGTTGACCCTCCGTCTTGAAAAAGCTAAAAAAGTTGCCAAAAAGTCCTAGAATCACCAGTTGTATTTAAAATATTGTGTGTATTAATATAATGAGCAATATTTGGTTTCACTATCAACATTTGTTTGAGCATAATTAAGGCCACTTAGTTCCTTTAAAAAATTGACAATCTTCTATTCACTTTTAAAATCTGAGTTCAAGAGTGCCTTTTAATTTTTTTACTATTTCATCTTTTAAAAAAATTGTATACTTATGAAAAGAAAATGGAAAGATCACTCACTTGGCTGGAGTCATGTTTGAAACCACTCTGAGTGTATGTGTTAACATTTCCTGATTGATTGCCTGGGAAATAAATAACCCCAAGTGGTAGCATGATATTTATATTTCTAAGTCAGGAATATTTCTCTTATTGCTCTGCTTCTAAAATAAATTCCCAAGAAAGTGCATAAAATATCAAAATAGCATTTTCAATATCTGCCAAATCTTAACATTTGCATCTCAGCAAGAAAGTGTGTAACCAGCGAGTAAACTGCCTCTTTGTCAAACATAAATGTGGCAAATTCTAAGGTGGCTCCTTTTCAACTAAATTGTCTCAGCATGCAGAGCAGCAGGGAGAACGTGAGCTATAGGACGCAGGAAAAAACCAATCTTTATATGATTTTTCCAGGAGGGTATTCTATTAAGTTCCAGAGAGAGATGATGAGATAGTCGCGGTGAAATGGCACATTTTCTTTCAGAAGCTCCTGCTCCATTTGAATGTGCCCGACTCTTCAGAAGGTGTCCATAATGTTCACTGACTCACACACGGCCTCCCAGCTGCCTTGTCTCCCTGCTCTTGCTTCCCAGGCCGACGGGAGGGTAATGAATTCTGCAGCATGACTCCTTGCTCCGGGTTTCCACCAGGCCTGACCTCCTCTAGACTTACCCTGACTCCACATACATGCTTTTCATGAGACACAGTTTTGTCTTGTCTGGAGCGCAATGTAATTAGAAAGCAATTTGGCCCAGGCACTCAGCTTCCGTGGTCACTTGGCACGGCCTCAGCTCGCCTCTGGCAGGGCTGGTTTTGCTCTGTGCTGGCCGTCCTCCGAGATGTCTAGCAGCTCAGGGATCTTGGTCCCTGCTTGTTCGGAGCCCGGGCTCTGCTGGGAGCCAGGGGGCTACACTGGAGCCACACGTCAGCCGTGTCCCACATGGCCTCACGCATGGACAAAGGAGGCTCGGCCACCTGACGCCCGCTGCCTAATCACTCCGCCCTGAGTGCCGAGACCATTTGGTGGCACGCTTGCCCCCAAATCCCCCTCGTTATATTGCTCACAAGCTCTCCCTGCGGTCCCCAAGTCCCAGTCCCCTGGCGCCATGGAAGCCGTTTTTAACTCGGCTCCCTCCATTTCTCTCCGCATCCACTAAGTTGCCCTATAAGTTGGACCTTCTCATTTCTGCTTTCAATGCCCTGATTCCAGTGTCTGACCCAAAACACTGTAACAGCCTCCCCGCTGCTATTTCCACACTCGATTCCACTTCCTCCAATTCTAGTATTACCCAGTATTACTGTAGTATTAGGCCAGATTACTTTTCCAAATACATAGCTTTGGTAATGTTATAATGTCATCCTCCCCCTCACAGATCTCCAATGGCTTCTCCTGGCCCAGAGCTTCCTTAGCTGGGTGTTCTGTCCCTCTGCCTGTTTAAGTAAATAAAGTTTTATTGGAACACAGCCATACCCTTTCATTTACATATTGTTCGTGGCTGCATTTATGCTACGATGGCAGAGCTGAGTCACTGTGACAGAGACCACATGGCTTGCAAAGCCTAAAACACTATTTGTCCCTTTATAGAAAATGCTTGCTGACCTCAGCTCTAACTTTGGTCCCAAATTTCCTTTCCAGTTTCGTTACCTTATAGCCTGGGCTTTCCTTAGCCCACTCTGTTCAGGGACATTCCTCCCTGCAGGCCCATCCAGTGGACCCCACTCATGAGAGCTTCTCCGACCCCGGTTCCACGTGGTGTCTCCCTGTTTTGCAGCCCCATCACACTTTGTTATGGCATTTTGCGCGCTCTGACTTTTATTGTAAATATCCATGTGCGTATCTTGTTGCCTCGCCTCCCACCGCAGTCAAGTCTGCAAGCTCCCTGCAGTGGGGGGCCGTGTCTTCGCTGTCTTTAGCTCTCAGCCTAGCTCCCTGCACAGAGCCATTCAGTAGATACTTGGAGACTTACTTAACTCAAAAACTAGGAGTCTTTTCTTCCAGTGGCTTCCAGAATAAATAATCAACATTCCCTTCTGGGGAAAGACAAGGTAGGAAAATGAGGCAGGAGAAGATACAATTATTCTTCCCTAGGAAGGTAAGAACTTAGAGGAGCAGGTTTTAACAGTTTTTTGTTTTATTGGTGGGGTAAGTGACTGCGGAAGCACACAGCCTCCATAGAAGAGAGTCCCTGGGAAAGGGCTGGAGTCAGGGCAGAGGAAAGCACTAACGGGAGAGAGACTTTGCCCCTCACCCATTAGGGCTCCACTGGAGGCACCACTTCAAGGATGTCATGGCTGCTGGGCTGCCGAGGCACGAGTGGGGGCTCATGACCTCTCACAGGGGGGCTTCAAGTCCCCTGTGGGTAAAAGGAACGTGGTAAATGGGGCAAGAAGAAGTGGGTGGAGGGCCTTAGGAAAGGGGTCTTGCGACCAGAAAAGTGGAACCCGAAGTTATTTGATTGTAGGAAGTTTGGCTGGTTTAGAATGGACTGTGAGTTGGGAGGGTCTGTTAGTTTCCTGTGGTAACAAATTATCATAAACCAGGTGGCTTGAAATAACACACCTTCCTGCTTTCACACTTGGGAAGCCAGAAATCCAGAATCGGTTGCACTGGGCCAACACTGAGGCGGCAGCAGGGCCGCTCCCGCCAGAGGCCCCGGGAGAGAACCTGTTTGCTCACCTTTCCCAGCTTCTGGTGGCCACTCCAGTTTCTGCCTCTGTGCTCATATTGCCTCCTCCCCTTCTGTCTGTGTCACATCTCCCTCTGCCTCCCTGTTAGAAGAATATTTATGGCCCACTGGGGTAAGCCAGGGTCATCTCCTGTCTCAAGACCCTTAACTTAATCACATAAAGTCCTTTTTTCCATAGAAGATAACACCCACAGTTTCCAGGGATCTGGAACCTCGCGTCTTTGGGGCCCAGCGGCTCCTGAGGAGAGGCAGGCAGCAGGAACCCTGGAGTGATGCTGGGACGTGAAGGGCGGCGGAAGTAGGGTACTGCCCCAGAGGCCGGTTGGGTGAGGAATGGGGGAGTGGGACAGGCGCTGTGCGGCAGGGCAATGTCCTTAGCTCGGGGACCCTGACATGAAGGTGAGTCACTGATGGCAAAACATTATGTATCCAGGCAGATCCAGCTTTGGTGGGGACTGTCTTGAGGACTCCTTTGAGAAAAATAATCCAAAATTACAAATACAAAACTTGAGATGAAGGTGAACTTAGAATGAAAAAAGAAATCACAAATTGAGGGAAGCTGATAAATGCTACAAACATCACATGATCCGGAAAATGACACACTGTTCTTAACTGCCGGAGGCCACTCCGTGACACTCGCCCCCCGCCTTTGTTAGACTTTTCAATACCTCTTTATAAAATTTCGTAGTATTTTTATAGAGAGAAGAGAAAGATAACTCAGTCATTTCTTTTAGCATGCTCCATCAGAGTGTGGTTTTATAATTGGTAGTTTAGAAGAGTTTCTCTCACCTTCTCCACCATTACTGGTAATATCATGTAAATTCGTAGGATTGTTGTTAAACTTGGAAAAACCCCTTTCCAGTCTCTTTCGTATCTGAGCTATTAAAAATGTCCTCCCTCCCTATTTATAGCACCACGATAGTTGCCCTCCAACTACAGGAATTGTGATCATTTCTATTTTGTGAAATTCTCATTAAAAAAGAACAAATTGAATGTGCACTTACAGTTGTATAACTGCATCATCAAGTACAAACCCTGACAGGGATGCCTGCCATGTTGGTTCAGCATTTTACGCGCCTGATGTTTGGAAGGATTTTCCACAGGCCAGTTCATGGCTCTGTGCATTTCAAACCTTATTTCTCCCCCGGGTGGTGTAGGACCCCGTCATGTCTCCTCTGGGTCATCGTGTTGGTGAGTTTCCGCAGTGGGTGGCAGGCGTATTCGCATGCTGGGATGACAGGTAGTGATGTAACCACGCTCAGAAGGAACCACAATCTGCATAAATGTAACCCTCTAAATCAACATTAAATGTGTCCCCAACTCAGCTTGCCCTCAGCCAGCTCCCCAGAATGCCCCCGGGCCCTCTGACGCCACCCAGCACAAGGGCGGGTGTGTAGAATGGAGGTTGGAGTGGAAAGAGGCAGTGATCTTAACTGATTTTGGTTAAAATATCTTCCTTTTGCAAAATTTTTTAAAAATGACCACATGGCAAGGGCCCTTCTCCGGGCCTTGGAAGGAGTCAGTGCCAGTGAGGGGCTCTGAAGCTCAGCTCCGTTAGGTTCACAGTCAATTCTCCTCAAACAAGGAGTCCCTCAGCTGTGACGCCCTAATGAGACTGCCCAGGAGAGAGAGCTAGGGACTGGAGACAAGCTCTGTGCTAAGGAAGTCCCAGATCCACCTGGCACCCTGATCACTCGGGCATTCCCATGGCATCACGAGAGCCTTCTTCTACATCTGTCTTTAATCTGGGTTTTAAAAATCTTGCAGGTTCACTATGGAAAACAATTTAACCATTTCTCAAAAAGCTAAAACTAGAATTACTCTATGATCCAGCAATTCCACTCCTAGGTATACACCCCAAGGAATTGAAAGCAGGAACTTGAGCAGATATTTGTACACCCATGTTCACAGCAGCATTATTCACAATAGCCAACAGATGGAAGCCCAACCCAACATCCAAACAAAATGTGGTATGTCCATACAATGGAATAGTATGCAGCCATAAAAAGGAATGAAGCTCTGATACATGCCACAACATGAATGGACCTCAAAAACATTATGCTAAGTAAAATAAGCCAGACATAAGAGGACAAGTATTTTGTGATTCCACTTACATGAAATATCTAGAATAGGAAAATTCATGGAGACAGAAAATAAATTAGAAGTTGCCAGGGACTGAGGGAAGGGAGAATGACAAATTATTGCCTAACTACTAGAGAGCTTCTACTTGGGATGATAAAAAAGTTTTGGAAATAGGTAGTGATGACTATTGTACAACATTGTGAATGTAATTAATGCCACTGAACTGTACACCTAGAAAGTGTTAAAATGGTAAATTTATGTTATGTATATTTTGCCACAATAAAAAATCCCAAAAAAGCAAGGTAATAGCTGAGCATCAGAAATGAATTTGCTCACATCAGATCATTCATGTATAAAAAAGATCTGGCAGAGTATTTTATGTGAAAATATTTGTCTAAAATGATTGCAGTCTCTGGAATAAGAATTCTGTAGAGCTCACTTCACATTAAACACATTTATACTTAAAAGTCTTGCAGGTTAATTACTAAGCCAGTGAAAATTGATACTAACCTGGTACACATTTGCCAGCCTTCCCTCCACTTGTCAGCCATCCACTGTGGGTTAATTCAATGGCAGTGAACACGCAGGTTTTGGGAGATGGTGTGGGCTGTGTTTACCACTGTTGTCTTTTAAAAAGGAAAAACTCCCTTGGTGGTGATTTGCTTGGGCTAATTTTTTTCAGACCCTGAGATCCCCAAGGTCTGCATAATATGCCTCCTTAGCTATTGTATAGGCTCTGACAGCCAGCTGGAGGTGAGGAGCCACCAGGCAACGCCCCGGAGGTTTCATCCAGAGCATAAAAGCATTGATAAGGAAGGGTCATTAAGACAGCGGGAGGGCGTGTGCTCCCTGAGCGCTGTGACTCATCTCTCTAACTGTCTTTGCCATCCCTGCCTGCCTCTGCCCTGGGCTCCCATTACCCTCTCGGTTGATTTCTCCAGGATGCATTCAGAGCCTGCCTCAAGAAGGGTAAGTCATGCCTGATACTGCAACAAACTCCAGAGTGGTTTAGCACAATAAGAGTTTTATTTTTCATTCAAGCAGAATCTGATGTGGCTGTTCCTACCAGGAGGGCGGCCTGCCAGTCTGTGCAGTCATTCAGGGATCAGAGCTCCTTCCATTTCACAGTTCCATCACCTCTCTGGCTCTGGTTGTCTGCTGGATCCTATGCACATGCCTGTAGACAGAGGAGAGGGATAGTAAAGATGGCCCAGGTGGTTTTTACGGGCCAGGCCTGGACGTGATGCTTGTCACTTCTGCCTACATTCCCTTGGCCAGAACTCAGTCACGTGGCCCCACCTAGCTGCAAAGGAGCCTGGGAAATAGGTTTTGGTGATACGTAACAGTGTGTCTGCCACAGGGATTTTATAAGCCACACGATCAAAGGCCTTTTCCCATTGCCTATTTTATTTTATCTTCACTCCACCATGAGACAAGAAGAATCTTGCCTTCCAAGGGGAGGAAAGGGAAACACAGAAGCCTTGAACACAGGTCCCAGCCTGGACAAAGCAGCCTAGCCTCTTGACTGCACCCGGGAGCCAGCCCTCCCACCTTCCTGGCTTGGGCACGGGCACCTTCTCTCGTGACCTGCTCTGAGCTCCAGGGTGGATGAGGAGAGCCTCTTCTCAGAGGGAGGCAGGCCTGGAACATCTGGGATCCAGATGCTGCCGGCTTCCCTGGCAGCTCCGAGTGCAGTGGAGGCATGGGTCTTAAGCCCTAAAGCCCTGGGAGGCCTGCTTCCTGTCTCTGAGAGAGCTGCTCTCCCCTCTGCCTCTCTTTGAGGGCTGAAATCAGTGGAGCCAGCCTTCTTTGACAGCTGACAGGGTATTCTCAGCGGAGGACAGTTGATTTTGGAACAATTCCTGCTGTCAGTCCTGTAAAGCCCGTCTCCTGACCTCGAGGGCACGAGGACAAACCCATCTGCTTTCTCAGTTAGTCATCGGAGGGGCTCAGTTGTAGAAAGTTTGCCTAAAGTCAAGCTGAGATGGTGCACAGGAAAGGATGCACTTATTCGCCTGGTCACGCCCTCTCTGCCCTCTTCTTGTGACTTTGCTCACAGGCCAGGCAATGCATGTTGCCAGGATATCAAGGCACAGTCAGCAGGAAATGTCTCTTGCCTGCAATCTGCGCAGATCTCCAGCCATTCATCTCTCTTGACGTTTTGTTTCTCACGAAAGCGATCCTAGAGATGAGGTTTGCCTCTGCTATGTGGTCTGTCAGCCCGTAAGATGAACAGCAGTAGGAAGAGTTGAGGAGATTCACAAGCGGTCAACTCATAATGGGTTTTTAGGGGAAACGAAAGTGCATTGTGTGCGACTCTAATTTCCAAGGTTGAGACCAAGAACTCCCACACCTTTGAACTTTCTCCCCAAAGCATCCTTTAGTCACACAGAGCCCTGGGGTGAATGGATTGTGTACTGACCCAGGTGGGACCTCTATGTTCATATATAGCTCTATTACTAAAGATGCTTTACAAATAACTGTAAAAAAAGGTAAATATTTGTTATACTAACACAGTATATAAGAGCAAGACGTCTCAAAAATACGCTTGCTTTAAGATTAGGGAATACAGCCCTCGGGCGTTCAGATGAGAGGGCTAAGAAGACCTGTGTTCTGGCTTTTTGTTTTACTGTTTCTAAACATTTGCTTGTTCAGGTTTGCTTCCTCTGCACCACAATGGAGAAGGAAGGGCTGTGCTTTTGGGGGATGCTTTCAGATGCAAGGAATAGCATACCTGAGCAAAAGTGGGGTTTACTTCCTCACATAGCCACACACCCTGGAGGGAGAGCAGTGCCAAGCTTGGCTAATTCAGTGCACGAAGACATGATATTTCCACTCTGCAGTCCTCAGTCATGCACCCTCATCACCACAAGATGGATGCTGCAGCTCCAGACATTACATCCTCATGCAACTATGGCCAAAGACTGTAATGTCTTTCCTCTTCTTATCAGAGAGAAATACCTTTCTTAGACTCCTCCAACTGACTTTCACTTGTATCTCATTGGCCTAAAGGGAGTCAACTCTCATCCTTAATATAATCACTGGCAAAGGGGAATAGGATTATCATAATTGGTTTAGACCAGCGGTTCTCAAACTTCAGCATGAATTAGAATCTCCTGGGGGCCTTGTTAAAACACAGATTACTGTGTTCCACCACCAGAGTTTCTGATTTAATATTTCGGGGATGAGGCCTAATAATGTGCATTTCTCATCAGTTGCCAGAGCTTTGTACTGCTGTTGGACTGGGACTCGCTTTGAGGACCACTGGTTTAGCTAGCTCTTGACTCACTTTCTGCAGCTGAATAAAGGTCACCTTCCCCGAATGCAGAGTGGGCATGGGAGTCACTGGGGGAAATCTCAGGACACAGTCAGCAGAAGAAAGCTTGTTAGGGGGCACTGGCCCTGTCCACCACATGTCATCCTGTGTTTTCCCCTCTGTTTTCTGAGTACATACCTTGACTCTCCCGGCCTTCTTTTTTTTTAAGGACCATTTCAAATTAGATGGTTTTACTGAAATATTTTTATTAATTTGATGCCTATAGCAGATCTTTTCCCACTGAGACTAACATAAATTCTAGGTGCATCAGTGTGTACTGCTTAAATTATGTAGGGCTTAAATGATTTCTTTCAACATCTATCACCTTTTGCCCTTCGCTGTGAAACGTTATCAGTCCTCGTGTTTGCTCAGGCATGCAGGTTTATTTGATCCATCGTAAGTTCCTCACAATCCTCCTTAGCTCTTACCAACCTAAACGCTTGTGTCATCAGCCAGTTTCTCCGCACTGCCGTTCACTTCATCCGCCAGGTCATTAACAGGAATATTGAGCGAAATCACTGGAACCGCCAGTGAGAACGTCAGGCATTAGCAGCATCTGAAACAACTCACCAGGGGTGGGCACAGCCTCAGAGCAGTGCAGCACTTTCTCGTGTTAAGAAAAACATCCGTATTTGATTCCATTCTTTCCCATGCAGAGTTTGCAGTAGATATAGATAAAATTATATATAAAGAAACTTATCCTTTCAAAACATCGTTGCAAATGGCTCACCGTGGGAAAATTTGGAGACAACAAATTTGGAGATTCGTTTTCAGAGACACTCTTCAATCCCATGCCCAATTTGATACTTGGTATCAAATTCCACCATTAGAAAGTCACTCTTTGGAGTAAATCTCTTTTAAAATAAGTGTCTCCTAAAAGGTGAAGAGAGTTAGCCCTCGTCGTGTGTGTCAACCTGAGTGTGATCCACTGAGCAACCCTCGCTCCTCCCAACTGGGATCTACACACTGAGGGCAGCGAGGACGGAAGCAAGGAATGGATTCACTCGGACATTCAGAGAAGGAAACTCCCTGGGAGGGAATTCCCAGAGGGCCCTGTGTCACTGAGGTGGGGGGGCAGTGGGAAGTGGGTGGGACAGTAGCAGGAAAAAGGCCCAGAAGGTAGCAGTGGGAACAGAAGAAGTGGGAACACAGGAGAGAAAAATCACGTCTTGGATCAAATCTCAAAGTTTGGTCCAGGACAGCCCTGTTTAGTAACCTAATGTGCATCTTAACAAAGGTTCTTGAGACTTTCTCATTATTAGCTTTCCTCCAGGGGAGGAGTGTTAATACCCAAACTGTAGAACCTGCCTTTTTTTCCTTACTTTATAGTCACAACATGCTGATGGGAACAATGTCTGTTTTTAAGGCCTCCTCCTGGTCCTTATCGCCACCAAGCTCTCAGAAGCTCACAGGGCAGGAGTTCGAGGTGAAGAAACTGAGGTGTCAAGACTTTTAGGTACTCACCAAAAGCCATGTGGTTGATGGCGGAGATATTCTGATAGATATACAATAGTATCTCATTGTAGTTTTTTTGTTATGTTTTTTTCCTTCTTCACCCCAAACCCCCCCAGTCCCTAGCTATGTATTCTTGTTGTGGGTCCTTCCAGTTCTGCGGTGTGGGACGCTGCCTCAGAATATGTGGATCCAGGCCTGCGACACCCTGGGCTGCTGAAGTGGAGCCCCAAAACAACCAGTGGGCCACAGGACGGCCCCTCTTTGTACTTTTAATGTGCTTTCCCTAGTGAATAATGATATTGAGTATCTTTTCATGTGTTTATTTATCTGTATATCATCTTTGGTGAACTGTATGTTCAAATCTTTTGCTCATTTAAGACAAACGGAGTTATTTTCTTGTTACTGAGTTTTGGGAGTTATGAACACATGAAGGGCACCAGTTCTTTATTAGATATGTGATTTGTAAACACTTCCTCCTACTCTGTGGCTTGTCTTTTCAGGTTTTTAACAGTGTCCTTTGCAGAGCAGCTCTTAATTTTGATGGAGTCCAATTCACCAATTTTGTATGTGTGTATGTGTTGTTCTTTTGATGTTGAATGTAAGAAATCTTTGCCTATTCTGAAGCCACAAAGATTTTCTCCTATGTTTTCTTCTAGAAATTTGATAATTTTCGTTTTTACATTTAGATCTCCAATTCATTTTGACTTAATTTTTATACACAGTGCAAGGATTGGACCAGAGTTGATTCTTTTGCATAAGGATATCCAATTGTTCCATGTCCATTAGTTGAAAACATTATACTTTCTTCTCTGAATTATCTTTACATTTGTGTAAAAAATAAATTGACTATATAGGAATGAGTCTATGTCTGGACTCTCCATTTTCTTGTATTGATTTTATTGTCTATCTTGACACCAATATCATACTCTCTTAATTACTCTATTCTGTTCCATTGATCTATTTATCTATCTTGACACCAATACCACAGTATCTTAATTACTACAGTTTTATAATAAATATCGAAGTAAGGTAACTATTTTTGTCCCTATTTTTCAAGTTGTTTTGGTTTCCTAGGTCCTTTACGTCCCCTTTGAATTTTAGAATCAGCTTGTCAATTTCTACAAAAAGGATCTTGATTGGGAATGTATTTTTTTCTACAGACTAATTTGGGGTAAATTTGACATGTTAACTGTATTGAGTTTTCTGACCCACGAAACTGGCAAATCACTCCATTTGTTTAGGTTCTTCATTTCTCTCAGCCATGTTTTGTAGTTTTAAGCACAGATCCTATACATGGTTTGCCAGATTTATCTCTAGGTACTTCGCATTTCCTATGCTATTGTAATGGAATTTTTAAAAATTTCAATAGCCAATTGCTCATTGGTAGAACATAGAAATAACAGATT